ATGTTTATTATACTCATATGTTTATACTCATACCTTCATGTTTATATCCTCATACTTTCACTTTTATACTCATACCCTAATGTTTATATACTTATACCTTCAGGTTTATATACTTATACTATCATGTTTATACTCATACTCTCATGTTTATAAACATATATTATCATGTTTATATACTCATAACTTCTTGTTTATATACTCATACTTTCATGTTTATACTCATACTTTCATGTTTATACTCATAACTTCATGTTTATTATACTCATACTTTCATGTTTATACTCATACCTTAATGGTTATATACTCATACTTTCATGTTTTAAACACATACCTTAATGTTTATATACTCATACTCTCATGTTTATATACTATTCTTCTCATGTTTATTAACATGCTTTCATGTTTATATACTCGTACATTCATGTTTATACTCCTACTTTCATGTTTATACTCATACCTTAATGTTTATTATACTCATACTTTCATGTTTATACTCATAACTTCATGTTTATATACTCATACTTTCATGTTTATACTCATACCTTAATGTTTATATACTCATACTTTCATGTTTATACTCATACCTTAATGTTTATATACTCATACTCTCATGTTTATATACTATTCATCTCATGTTTATTAACATGCTTTCATGTTTATATACTCGTACGTTCATGTTTATACTCATACTTTCATGTTTATACTCATACCTTAATGTTTATATACTCATACTTTCATGTTTATACTCATACCTTAATGTTTATATACTCATACTTTCATGTTTATTAACATACTTTCATATTTATATACTCATACTTTCATGTTTATACTCATACCTTATTGTTTATATACTCATACTCTCATGTTAATTAACACATAACTTCATGTTTATATACTCTTGCTCTCATGTTTATTAACATGCTTTCATGTTTATATACTCATATTTTCATGTTTATACTCATAATTTAATGTTTATACTCATACCTAAATGTTTATTATACTCACACTTTCATGTTTATATACTCATACCCTCATGTTTGTATACTCATACCCTCATATTTTAAACACATACCTGTCAAATTCTGCTTCTAAAATTAGTACATGTAGATGAAATCTTGAAATCTGTCAATCACAAAATTCAAGTTGACTTCATACTACTTGATTTCTCACAAGCTTTTGACATGGTCAGCCGTGAAAAACTTCTCTATAAGCTGCATTTATATGGTATAAGGCGAGAAACTCTCAAATGGACAATTCTGAGTACAGTTCCAGTGTCTCAGGTCACCTTGCACTGGAGCTGTCATCGACCAGATCCAGTCTGCGCAGCATTCTGTTGCCCACTGGGTAAAGAAGGACTACAATCAAGTGTCTCAGCCATGTTTGATTCCCTAGAGTTAGAGGAGTCTAGCGCAAAGACAGATAGTCTAGAGCCTTTATGCCTTATTATGCTTCAAACTATCCTGAAAAATAACGTTGCCATTCCTCTTCCAGACTATCTTAAACCAGTAACTAGACCAATTTAGGTTTCCAATTTCAAACAACTATTGACTACTACAAATACTCAGTCTTTTCTATGACCATTTTCTATGACCATTTCTGATTGGAATGCCTTGCCCTTAATAGACCTATTCTAGGCCAAAGTTCAATTAGGCTATAAGCCGGTTTAAGCATGTATCACTTTAATTAACAACTGAGATATTTTTATCTAATTTAAACTTTTTATCTCACTTTTAAATGTCTGTTTTTAACTTTCTTTTAAACTTCAATTTTTATCCTTCTTTTAAGTTTTTATTCCTCTTATAAACCTTTGTTTTTATCCTGCTTTTAAAGCTCTGTTTTATCCTTCTTTTAAAGCTTTGTTTTTAGCTCACCTGAGCAATGCTCAGGGTGAGCTATTGTGATCGCCCTGTGTCCGTCGTCCGTCGTCGTGCGTCGTGCGTCGTGAACTTTTCACATAAACAACATCTCCTCTGAAACCAATGACTGCACATCAACCAAACTTTACAGAAATGATCCTTGGGTGGTCCCCTTTCAAAGTTGTTCAAATGGTTCCGGTCTGTTGCATATGTAGGTCACAGGGCCAGAAAAGGGATTTCAAAAAACACAAAATTAAAAAATCTTCTTGTCTGAAAGTACATGGGCCAGAGCTTTTGATTTTTTGGTATATGGTATCATCTATGGGTCCTCTACCAAAGTTGTTCAAAATTTTGTCCCTAGTGTCAAAAATTGGCCCCGCCCCGGGGGGTCATAGGTTTTTCCTTATATGTCTATAGGTAAATCTAAAAAAATCTTCTTCTCTGATTTTGGCAAAGGCTACAGATTAGATATTTGGCATGAAAACATTGTGTAGTAGACCTCTATCAAGATTGTTCAAATAATGGCCCTAGGGTCAAAATTGGCCCCGCCCTGGGGGGTCATTGATTTTCATTACATACATATTGTGAAAAAAACTTGAAAAATCTTCTGGTCTGAAACTAAATGGCCTAGAGCTTTGATTTTTGGTATATGGTATCATCTATGAGTCCTCTACCAAAGTTGTTCAAATTTTGTCCCTAGTGTCAAAATTGGCCCCGCCCCCGGGGGGTCATAGGTTTTTCCTTATATGTATATAGTAAAATCTAAAAAAAATCTTCTTCTCTGAATTGGCAAAGGCTACAGATTTGATATTTGGCATGAAAACATTGTGTAGTAGACCTCTATCAAGATTGTTCAAATAATGGCCCTAGGGGTCAAAATTGGCCCCGCCCCGGGGGTCATTGATTTTATTACATACATATAGTGAAACTTGAAAAATCTTCTGGTCTGAAAGTAAATGGCCTAGAGCTTTGATATTTGGTCTATGGTATCATCTGAAGGTCCAATACCAAAGTTGTACAAATTTTGTCCCTAGTGTCAAAATTGGCCCCGCCCCGGGGGGTCATAGGTTTTTCTAATATGTATATAGTAAAACATAAAAAAAATCTTCTTCTCTGAATTGGCAAAGGCTACAGGTAAGATATTTAGGCATGAAACATTGTGTGGTAGACCTCTACCAAGATTGTTCAAATAAATGGCCCTCGGGTCAAAATTGGCCCGCCCTCGGAGGTCATTGATTTTCATTATATACATATAGTGAAAAACTTGAAAAATCTTCTGGTCTGAAAAGTAAATGGCTTAGAGCTTTGATATTTGGTCTATGGTATCATCTATAGGTCCAAAACAAATTTGTTCAAATTTTGTTCCTAGAATTAAAATCGGCCCCGCCCTGGGGGGTCATTGTTTTCTCTATATGTATATAGTAAAAAACTTAAAAAATCTTCTTTTAAAGAACCCAAAGAGCTAGAGCTAAGATATTTAGCATGAAACATCTTCTAATGGGTGTACTACCAAGTTTGTTCAAATAAAAGCCCTGGGGTCAAAATTGGCCCCGCCCCAGGGGGTCATTGATTTTCCCTATATGCATATATTTTTCTTTTAAAGAATGCAAAGAGCTAGAGCTAAAATATTTAGCATGAAACATGTTTCCAAATGGGGGATGTCTTACCATGTTCGTTCAAAAATAAGAGCCCTGGGGTCAAAATTGGCCCCGCCCCGGGGGTCATTCATTAGCTCGACTTTTTTTTTTAGATATATACATATTATATATATACATACATATATATATATATATACTATATATATATATATATATATATATATATATATATATATACATACATACATATTTATTAATATATATATATATATACATACATACATATATATTTACATATATATAAGATATATATATATACAATATAGATACATACATAGTTTCATATATACACACACACCAAAAATACAATACATATATATATATATATATTTCATATAACCTATATATATATACATAAAAAATCTTCTTTTTAAAACACCCAATAAGCTAGACCTTAGATGTTTAGCATGAAACATCTTCTAATAGGTGTCAACCAAGTTTGTTCAAATAAAAGCCCTGGGGTTTAAACTGGCCCCGCTCCGGGGGCCTATATACAGGTGAGCGACTTTGGGCCATCATGGCCCTCTTGTTATCCTTCTTTTAAACCTCTGTTTTTATCCTTCTTTTAAAGCTTTGTTTTTATCCTTCTTTTAAACCTCTGTTTTTATCCTCCTTTTAAAACTCTGTTTTTATCCTTCTTTTAAAACTCTGTTTTTATCCTTCTTTTAAAACTCTGTTTTTATCCGTATGTTAAACCTCAGACAAGTGACACAAAGTCTAGCCAAACAGCATGGAAGATAGATAAATATAAATTCAGATTAAGCTCATACCTTTATGTTTATATACTCATATTTTCATGTATAAAAACTCATACGGTACCTTCATGTTTATTCTCATACCTTCATGTTTATTCTCATACTCTCATGTTAATTCTCATACCTTCATGTTAATATACTAATATTTTAAAGTATAAAAACTCATACCTTTATATCTCATACCTTCATGTTTATTCTCATACCTTCATGTTTATTCTCATACCTTCATGTTTATTCTCATACTCTCATGTTTATTCTCATACTCTCATTTTAATTCTCATACCTTCATGTTTATATACTTATATTTTAATGTATAAAAACTCATACCTTTATATCTCATACCTTCATGTTTGTACTCATATTCTTATGTTTTGGGGCAACAGTAGCAGGGACATTGAATTATTTCATGTGAGGAAGTTATCCAGCTAGTTTACAGAAAGTCAGTTGTTCCACTCAGGTGCCTGAAATAATGTAGGGAGGGACATCTAAGGTGCCCCATCCCCCCACCCCCCCCCCCCCCCCAAAAAAAAAAAAAAAGATGATTGATTAAAAATGAAATAATAATAATGTACTTTTAATATTTTAAGAAAATAAAAATACCTCAGCTCTCAGCTAATGAATCGACGATGACTAGACTAATTTACATAGTAAATTGGACACTGATTAAAAATGTATCATCAAATTTTTCAATTACCTTTGCAAGTGACTTCATGTATTTAACTATTTTACAGATCGAGAAGGATTTGACCTTGAGAGAGAGTTAAGGAAGTGGTTGACCTTGAGCAAAAATGGAGCACAGGATCAGCCAGAAGATGAGTGCAGCAATGAGAGCATCAATGAGGGCAGTAATGAGGTTGAAAGTGACAAAGAAGGTGATGAAGCTAAGACAGAGGGAGAAACTTATCAGCTGAGGGTATATCAACATTACCGGACCAATATTGGATCGCCCTCCATTTATAGACGATCCTTCACACAGGATGAGATTAAAAGATTTGTAGGTAAGTGATTTTTATGAGTAGACTGCATGATTGTAGTATCTGGGAGGTGACAGGGTTGATCCCCAGCAGAAGTTCATCAAAAACTGTTCTACATATATAAACAAGCCATAAACCTTTACAGAATCAGACTGTTGAAAGTAACAGTCAAATTATTATAAGGGCACTGAATATTTGCAACATCATGACAAATCATTTTGTAATATGCGGCGAATGACCTCACCCTAGACAACCATTCAATGCGTCACCAGTGATGTACTGGTATATACATGCCGGTATAAACATAAATGACGGAAGTAAGTATTTCTCTATTTTTAACAAATTCCAACTGTGTTTCAGTTAAAATCAATGTTATGGATTCATCATCGCACAGGTTTAGCTTGTTACAAAATAAAGCCACCATATGTCCTTTGCTGTGTTGGTGCAACGTAAAACCCAATTTAAAAAAAAACTGAAATATTTGTTACCTATCTAGGGGAAGTAGTTCTGCCAAACAGTTTTACAGATTTATGCCCCCTTTTCTTTGTTCTTAATTGAGAACAATGAAGAGCACTGCTCCTTTGACAGCTGTTGTTTTATTTTGTTTTGATGTTAAAAGAGTGTTGTACTGTCATATTTGGCTATGAAAACAATGCAAAAAAAAAAAAAAGCAAAAAACAGATGGCGCCGTGGCCCAGTGGTTGAGGCATCAGACTAGCAATCTAAGGATTGCTGGCCACGTGAGTTCGAAACCCAGTCATGGGCAGCTTTTGTTTCCTTGAGCAAGAAACTTTACATTCATTGTTAAGTACTAGTTGGTTCTGGGAACGTATTTGACAGTGTATCAATAAGCTTATAGCTTCCAACACAATCACAAACAAAAATAAATTTGTACAAACTGAAAGAGGGAAACAATACTAATTAATACATGAACACAGTAATTGGAAAAATATCCATGCATGTTTGCAAATATTGTGTGACTCTCTCCACAGGGACAGTCAAATAGCTCTTCATCTTGTTACAACAGAACATAACTCAATGTCCCCAATCAATGGTAATTAACTCAATGAAACCTTGATATGTCTAAAATACCATGAATCCTGTAAACCTGTCCCCTCTTGGGGGAATACACATGTCAGGGTAAAACTCATCATCCAAATTGATTATCTTATATTTCACTTTTGTCTGAATGAGGGAAAAAAAAGAGGCGAATGGTAATTCTAATTTTCTGATGCCAGATCCATGGTAGTTTGTATGGAGACCTGTCAATTATGAAGCAGTTAAATGGTGTTACAAGGTCTCCTGTCGATTCCTAAAGAACGAGTTAAAGACAATACCAGCTGCATATTGTTTATGGTTATAAAATATTATTGCTTATTATAGATACAGAGAATTTTATTTATCACTATGTGTTTTATTTTGCTATATTTAGAAAAGGAGGAAATTTCATTCTTGTCTTCCAACTAATTCATGACCAAAAAAATATGAAAATATAGATGTGTTAAGTCCTGCGTTTGCTGCTTTTTGTTTTTCATTTACATGTATGAAATTTAACAGTTTTATTTGTTAATAGTTTAGGGGGATTGAACTCTCCATTAAGACTTTCAATTCAAGTGATGATGATTACTATACTGTTGTTTAGTCTGACCTGATTATCATGATGGTAGTGTGTGACGGGCAAGGCTCTATACTATCATGCTGATGGACCAGGCTATTAACTGTCAGCATATGCTGTCATGCCAGGCTATATACTGTTATGCTGATGGGTCAGGGTTCATACTGCCATGCTGACATCGACCTGGCACTATTCTTTCTGATTTTAAAAATTAAAATCTCTGGCAAACCAACAGTCAACAATTCTAAATTCAAAATAAAACAATTTGGATGGCAGTAATGATTACGCAAAAATAATAGTAATGTATATTTTCAATATTAACAAGATGTTTCCTGGTTTGTGCACTCAGCTTGCAAGCTGTTGCTATATGATGATGACACTTGTTGTGGTGAAAGTGATAATTTATCTGATCTGCAGTATGTCAGCGCTTTAGTATCACATGCTTTTAACAGGAACTATAGGTTCTTTGTTTTGACAGAAATGGGAAAAAGAGAAAGTAATGTTATATATAACATGACTGAGTATTAACCATTTCTGAGAGTTTTAGTAGGAAAAAATCAATATAGATATACATGTATATTGTTAACATTTGTGTTGAAATGCGGTATGAAATGAAAGTTATTGATACAATATTTGAGATTTTATTTAATTTTACCCTTGAAATATATAGAGGATATTGAATGAGTGTAGGTTTAATACTAAATTTATTGAACAAGTTGAATAAAATCATATTATGCGAGCCTCTGGCGAGCATAATATTGTTTTATTTTACGAGTTCAATAAATTTAGTATTGAATCTACACAAATATAATATTCTATTTATCACATATATAAAATAAGACAGATAAACTGTTAACAAGAGTCATTTTACTTTAACGCGCCTATAGTGTAACGCTAACATTAGCGCGCTTTAACGCTATGTTTATAGTGCAAATGACGTGACGTCAAAGTGTTATTACACTAGTGTAATATCGTCTAGTTTAATATCGTTTTTATTAAATGGCTTTATTATATACACTCCTGCGCCGCGGTTTATGTGATAAGGTGCTATATCAGTCAATTATATTTCATTTTTGTAAAAAATAAATATGAAATATAAATATGAAAGTGGGCGGAGTCAAAACTCATATTTATTTTAAGGGACTTCTTTCGCCATTTTGTTTTAAAAATCTGATTTTTTAATTTTGTTTTGAAAACTATCTAAAATGTTAGAAAATGGTCTAACTAAGAAAATAAATCCGAAAACCAATATCTTTAATTCAGTTATTAACACTGAACAGACGTTTAAAGAGTTGTTTACGTGACGTCACAATGTACTCTGCGCCAAACATCGCATGCAAAACAAAACGCATCTATAAAGAATATATATATTACTGCATGCTGTACAATTGCAGTTGGGTAGGAAGCAAGGGGATTCGTAACAATTTTTCTTTGATAATGAAATTAAATAAAAAGGTTATTTTTTCATTTTTCATGAAATATGGTATAGATTTTCATGCACTCAACATGATAAAATGCCATTTTATCATGTTTCGTGAAAATATATTCCATATTTCACTCAAACCAAAAAATATCCTCTTATTATTCAATACTACATGTCAATTAAGCTTATAATTTGCATTTCCAATAACACTTATTCTTGTATTTTCTGACTGTCTAACTTGACTGAATGATGTTTGCAAATTTCTGACAAATTGAGCTGCAGACCAAACCTACTTTAAGCACCACACCTCCAGATTCATGCTAATTTTCATGAAAATTTTGAAGAAATATTGAAGTGAACAATTTAGTTAGTAATTCACACATTGCAAACAGCACTTGCAATCCATGTAAATTACCTAAATAAGGTCAAAATATGCAACATTTATAAATAATAGCCCTTAGTGCGTTTAAGTAACACAGAAGAAATATGGTGAAAAAACTGCCAAATCTGTCATTTATTGCTTATAACTTGTTATTTTTTACTCTTATCCTGAACCTTTTTTTACTTTTCTTTAAATCAGAGAATATTTTTCTCAAGTTTTTTTCTTTTTTTTCTCAATATTTTGGCTTATCTGCATGCATCTTAAAATAGCATTGGAATATATATTTTGTTAAATGTTGTTTCATTTAAATTATTTGTCATATTTACCTGAGTTAAAAAAAAACTGATTATAAAGACATGAAAACAATGTAATTATAAACATTTTCATCTTTTTTCAATATTTAATTATTTTATATAATTGTTTTGTTCATGCCCTGTAACAATGTGGGAGTTTTTATTTCTTTACTTCTTTTGTTTTGACTTAAAATAACAAATCAAAAATTTTGTAATTTATTACAAATTGCATTATTGATAGCTAATTATCTGCACAAAAAACAGTCATAAGTGAAATCGAATTGTAAAATTGTTTGAAGCATTCAAATTCAGCAGACAATGGATGGAGACAGTAAAATAATCTTGTAATGATTGTATTCTATTGTTGTATGTCCATAAACAACAATAGAACATTAATGATATTGAGATAGTAGATATGGTAGTAATGATTATTTCCACTTTGATATTGTATACAGAATTGCGAAGGATCAGATAAAAATGCCTGTTAAATGTTGCATCACTCCAATAACACTGCATAAACACAACATATGGTTAGTGTTAAATGGTAATGTATTACCGAATTAATTTTTCATAAGACATTAATGAAAATTGCTGAGGGCTAAAATTATCACCTATGTGTCTGTCCTTACACAGAATTAGCTCACCTGGTCTTACAACTGCAGTTAAGTTTACCTGGTCTGACAAGTGCAGTGTTAGTTCACCTGGTCTTACAGCTGCAGTGTTAGTTTAACTGGTGTTACAACTGCAGTGTTAGGTCATCTGGTCTTACAACTGCAGTGTTAGGTCACCTAGTCTTACAACTGCAGTGTTAGGTTACCTGGTCTTGTAACTGCAGTGTTTTGTCACCTGGTCTTACAACTACAGTGTTTGGTCACCTGGTCTTACAAGTGCAGTGTTAGGTCACCTGGTCTTACTAAACTGCACTTTTAACTTTAACTGCTCCCCTTTAGATGTGTAAGCTTAAATTGAAAGTAATTAGCCTGTGCCACAAGTATCAAAAATGGAAAATGGACAAGTCCATTTAAACAATTTTGATTAATGGTAAATATTTATAACCCATGTTTGAATTTTTACTATGTAAATCATTTATTTGAAATTTGTTATAATTATGAATCTTCATGACCATTTTTTAAAATGATGATGTTTTTACTTGATATAAATCAATCATAATTATATAAAAACATTACCACTTTTATCTAGAGTTAAAATTCATGCCATTGGCAATTTACATGTGTTTAATTAGGTGATATTATTTAGAAGAACTGTCAAATGCAAGTTCACCCATGTGGATCCTAAAATGTTTTCCTTTAA